GAAACACAATATTTGTTAATGATTTACAATAATAAAATGCATTGACTCCAATTGATTCAATAAGGTTATGAAGTTTAATGGAAGAAATACCAACATTGCAAAAGCAGCCATCAGAAATATGACGAACATAGCTAGGTACAATAAATTCTCCTGAGTATCGGCTGATAACTCTATATAATGTTGAATTGTCAATCTCAGTATAAATTGATTTAGTATCGCTTTTGAATTTCGAATTTTCTGGATCAACTGTAATATTGGTTAATGGGCAATTATGAAATGAGAAAATGTTTATTGTTTGGAAACCTTTTGGAATAAATATTGAAGATAGTATTGTGTCAGCAAAGCAATATTCATGGAATTCAAATAATTTTGAATTAAAGGAAATATTTATTTCTATTAATTTGGAATATCTAAATGCAGACTCATTAATAGAAACTACAGAATCAGGCAAAATTATTGATTTTAAGGGTGCACACGAGAGGATCATGTAAACTTCAGAATTTAGAACCTTATTTTTAGGCATTATCTTTGCTACCTATTTAGGCTCGAAAAGCAAAAAATATCAAAAAATACAACTTGACTCCATTATGACCCTTTCATGGAGGTAGTTTTTATCCGCTAGTATTTTCCCTTTGAATCTCTTTACAATTCGAAATCAAATTCAAAACTCAGTAGAAGAAAGGAAGAATCGACTTACTACGGTTGTAATACGAATAAATACATATATTTAATTATTTTTATTTACATAATAATTGTTTGAAGCTCATATTCCAACAAATTTTTAAATAAAAACATTAAAATGTTGAAAATGTTCATATATTTTAATAGGGTTTTGGCACTTTATTGAGGAATTACTACATACATAGTCGAACTGAACTTGAAATTTTGAAATTTAAATTATTTATCAAAATGAAAATTGAACTTGAAATTTAAAAAAAAAAAGGTATTGGGGCTTCCAGGCACTTCGTGCCCTCTAGCCCCGAAGATGTTTTGTCATTTTTCAGGGAAAAAACATTTTTATTGTATATAAAATGAATTTTACAAAACCACCGTTACCCTTCTTTGGAAATAAGAGTAGATGTAAAGATATTCTATTGAGAGAACTTAAGAAACTACCGAATGGTCTAACATTTGTAGATTTGTTCGGTGGAAGTTTCTATATATCTCATTTGTGCCATACTGTATTTCCTGACTCAAAGATTATATGCAATGACTTCGACAACTATATGGACCGTCTCAAACATATACCAGACACTAACAAAATATTGAAAGAGTTAAAAGAAAAGATACCTATAGGTAAGATGGAACGTATACCATTAGATAAGAAAAATACTGTCAGAGAGGTTTTGAAAAAAGCAGAGTATATTGACTGGGATAGTATATCTTCTAGACTATTATATAGTGGTTCTATAAGAGTTCATGACATTGAAACACTTATGTCAAAAGTTTTATATCTTAACTATACAAAGGTTTTCAAAGAGAACATAGAAAAATATACTGAGGGTATAGAGTTTGTGAGATGTCATTGGACAGAGTTGTATGAAAAAATATAAAAAAAGGAAAATGTTTTTCTTTATAGTAGACCCGCCGTTCTATAACACATGGGATTTTCAATACCAAGTAGACTGGACTTTGAGAGACTCTTTAGAAACTTTAGACGTTTTACATAACCATCCATGCTTTTACTTTACATCCGATAAAAGTGGTTTGGAAACCGTTATGAGATGGTTAGAGGACATACATGACTATGAGTTTAGATACGATAAGATAGAATATGAGAGAGGTCCTATAAACTGGAGAAAGTGTCACAACAAAGAAATTTTATTGGTAAGTAAATGTGGTTTTGAAATAGGACTACTTGTTTTAGGTTTTTTCCATTGTGTCATTTACTTATTTGACGTGGCAGAAAGATATAGAGAATATGAAGATGAACCAATGTCTGCAAATGTTCAGCATATGTACTCGTAAGAGATATTTTTATCTAATATTAAATGGACGCACAGAACTTAGCGAATGCACAGCAACCTGGACAACCAAACCGAGAATATTCCAAATGAAGTTAGAATACAAACTGCAATGGCAAAACTATGGTCAAGTGCCAACAGATGTAAAATGCAAACTGCCATGTCAAATGACGCTGCGTTAGGTTTGCCACCATGGTATGCAATATGAGATGGAAAGAGTTTTATACAAACCCTGAAGTGGGATATAAACAACTCTATGCAGATGACGCGAACACAGGAGTTGACCCAGAGTATGTTTTCTACCAGAGGAGAAATAGAATGTATGAGCTCCAGTTAAAAAATGCTATGGAACTCAACAGGAAACGTAAGAGACTAGGCGGACATTAGATTTTTTACATATAGTAAAATGGGTTTCTTTGGAAGAATAGGAAACTTCTTTCGAAATGTTGGAAGAGGTATATGGAATGGAATAAAATCTGTCGGAAGAGGAATTTGGAACGGAGTCAAAAATTTGGCAAAAGAGTAGGTCAGTTTGTTGGTATTATACCTAAAGACCCTGAACCAGAAGAACAAGCTCCTGTTATACAACAGCCTGAACTGCACCACAGTCTAGTTGGCAACCAATCCAACCTCAACCGTATTAAAAATTATATTTTTACCGTTCGATAGTAGTTGTATATGAGACTAAGTTCTAAGTAAAACGCATGGTATAATGGAAACTATTCTCTTTCTTCCATCTGTAGTAAACATACTTGAAAGTTGAAATACTTCCACTCGGCGGTTCATATAGCTTTGTAGGTTTTTCGTAAAAGTCGTTTGCCAGCATAAAAAGAGTTTTGTGCACCAGAAAATGAAGCATGAACTATAATAATCTTGGTCGAAAATTTTTCATATGTTCCATTAGGGTTTTCGACTTCATAAAAGTTCGGGTGTACTGGATATTCTGCAGGCTGATTTAACATCCTCAAAAATCTATACATGCCAAGTTGTTATATTTTGTAGAAATATAAACGTCTTCTCCAAGGTTCTATTCTATTGATTTTAAAACAGTTGCATTTTTCCTGTCATATATAATATCGAGATGGTACTCTCCTTCGTCAATGTTAAACTGGTTTGCATATTCGAGATAGATATCGTTTATTTTTTCTTGAAAAGCTTGAAAGATTGTTTCTAAGTTTACAAGCAAATTCACTTGTAAAAGTTTTCCCTGTTCAAATTTCTCATACGTACGTTTTTCTTTGTTATAGTATCGAATTTCAAAAGCGACCGTAAATGGGAAACCATGTATGGCTTCTGAAATGAACTTCATTCTACGAAAGCCAATAGCTTTTGTGACGGATGGGTCTCTTAACCATCTTAAGGGGTAGTCAAAACGATAGCCTTCATGCTTTACGGTCTCTGTCTCAAACTTTTGACCGACATTCGTAAAAAGTTCATCTAATGGTTTAGTTGTAGCAACTCTTGAATTTTCTTTTTCTATTGGAAGCATTTTTTATCTAGAATAAAAATGTCGAAAGAAACAGCGTCTATGAGAGAAATACAACACAACCGACAACTCATTTTGCAAGCTCTAAATAAGAACACAACAAACTTTTCAAACTATTCTAAGATATCTGAGTCATTGAAAGAAGGAAACTTAAAACTGACGATAAACCCATTGACAGACGAGTTTCTGTTTCAAGACAGTAAGAACCATACTGTCTGTGTAAATCCAACAAAAGGAACTTTAAACGAGAAACCTATAGATGAACTTCTTTTGAAAGCAGATGTTGACAACAAAGCTGACAAAGAGTATGTCATTGAAAAAGTTCAAGAAGAACATGACAGAGCAGATGCAACATATGCAACAAAAGAACATACTCATCCTGAACTAGCAGACAAAACATATGTTGACAATAAAATGTCAAGTGAAGTGACAAGAGCTGACAAAGAATATTCTAAAAAGACTCATACACATACCATTGCAAATATTACAAACTTACAAGAAACCTTAAACAGGAAAAGTGACGTTGGACATACACATACTATATCTGAAATAACAGACTTAAACGTTAGCCTTGAAAAGAAAGCTGACAAAGAGTATGTAGATGCAACAAAAGACTATATTTTCGCATGGACAGATAGAGCATACCCACAAAAACACCATACACATAACATCTATGACGTAGATGAACTTCAAGAAAAGTTAGATGACAAGGCGGATAAAACATATGTTGACAATAAAATGTCAAGTGAAGTGACAAGAGCTGACAAAGAATATTCTAAAAAGACTCATACACATACCATTGCAAATATTACAAACTTACAAGAAACCTTAAACAAGAAAAGTGACGTTGGACATACACACGATTTCTTCGCAACTGTTGGTATAGAAAATATTGCAGGAACGGTTGAAGAACCTGATGGAACTGGTGGGGATGTATTAAATTGGAAACCTCCTAACTTTCCACAAGGTTTAACATCGGAGGATGACATAACGACGATGAAATACACTAGATGTAGAAATGTCTATGTCATGGAGGATGAAAACAAAGTTAAATTCACTGCTCAAGATTTATATGATAAAAAAGCAGACAAAACAGAGCTTCAAACATTAAAGATTGAAATACTTCAAACACTATATCCTATAGGTTCTATTTACACGTCAATGAACTCTACCAGACCAGAAGTAGTACTTGGTCTCGGAACTTGGACTCAAATAGTCGACAGGTTTTTGTATTGTGCAAACTCTTCAAAGGAAACAGGTGGAAGTAAAACGATTTCAGGTGAAAACTTACCTGCACACAGTCACTACATAGATTTAAGTACATCTCAAGCAGGTTGGCATAAGCATAGATTTTGGGATTGGTCAGCAATGAAAAAAGGTAAAGGATATGATGTTAAAGACGACGTTCAGTTTGCTATAAATTGTTTCTGGGGTAGCACACAGGGAGAAGGAAACCATACACATCGCGTTTCAGGGTATACGCAAACAACGGGACAAAGTAAAGACTACATGCCACCTTACATGACAGTTTACGCATGGTATAGAAATGCTTAGTCGTCATTTTCAACTTCTTTAGCATATTCGTCAGGAGTTGTCTTATATTTGTTAGGAACTGTCTTTGAAAGTATACCACCTTGAACCTTAACAAGTTTGAAACGAGGTCTGACAATAGTAGTTTTATCTTCTGCTTGCAGTCTGTACATTTTGCCATGTTTGCCTAAAACTTCATAATATTCTCTTGTATACTTTCTTCTATTTTTACGAACACGAATGTGAGTACCTGTCGAGTTCCCATTGTTGTCATAGTCAATAGTATTTTCATATGGGTCGCGTTTAGGTATTTCTATTTTTACTTTGTCACCTTTCTTAAGTTTGAAGCCTGGCATTCTTTCTTGTTTGTCTCTTTTGACTAAACTATTAAATATATAGTCTTTCTCTAAGTCAGGGTTGTTTTTCATTTCTTCGGGGGAGTGGTTTCCCAAACCTTTTTGTTTACGGTATTGTAAATATTTAAAACTTGTCTCATCTTTGCCATGGAGAAGTGTCTATATTTGTCGTCATATGACATTTCATCTACCTCACCACCTTGTGGTTGATTTAAGTCTCTTAAGATTTTTATACAACTGTCAATGACACCAAGAGCAGAATGGTTTTGGTCGACAATGAAATATTGGTTTACATTTTTTGAACGCAGATAGTTTTTAATATCGTCTGATTTGAAAGAACTTTCACAGTCAGATGTCAGTTTTGTTGGATGGTATTTGTCAACGAATATTGTCAAAGCAGTTTTCACATCTAAAATATTTTTGGACTAATGGTATGGCTTCACAGTATCTTGTGTTTTGACCAACAAATATTAGCCAGTATGGTGGTCCATCTTCTCTATACCTCGGAATGTTTTCCAAGATATCCATAAACCAAGCATTTGGTGTTGAACTAAAGATTTTTACCATGAGTGCTTTCTTTGTTGCTTTAGAAACATACGGGTCCTTGTTTGAATTCGTCATTTTTAACCCATAAGAAATGGGTTTATTTGGCGCATTAGCAGGAGTCGCATCTAGATTTTTGCCCGCAGTGGGAACACAATAGCCAGAGGTGCATTTGGAATTGGAAGGAAGATTTTGAGTACATTAGGTATACTGAAAGAGAAAGCACAACCTATTATACAAACTGTACAGAAAGGTTGGGAGGTAGCACGAGATGCAGCAAATCTTATTCCAAATCCTGAAACAAGAGGAAAAGTTCAAGGATGGATGGACAATGTAGGAAGACAAGCAGGAAACTACTATAACAAAGCAAATGACTACTATAACCAAGCAGGGCACTACATGGACCAAGGTGAAAGATTCTTTAACAGAGGATATAACCATGCACAACAGTGGGTAAACAACAACCAACCTCAACCGCCTCAAACGTGGGGAATGTAAATTTTTTACTGAGATGAAATGAACAATACAGCATTGAGACAAATGGGCTCAAGATGGCTTTGTCGGCTTCCAGCAGTTACACACCACGTGTTTGTCAAGTTCTTCCTATACCTCAGGAAGTTTTAGACCGACTTAAAAAACCTCAACAACCAGTTGAAAACAAACCAAACTAAAATTTTTTACTGAGATGAAATGACCGAAGAAGTTGAAACGGTAGATTTGACACCACAAACAAAAAGTTCAGAACCATTGTCAAAACCTGTCAAAGAACTTACAGATGAAGAGAAAAATTCAATAATAGAAAGTGCCAGGTCTGGAAATACAAACTCTAACTACAAAGTCACTTTTCATAAAAATGGAACGGCAAGTATCTCAAAAAAGAAACAGACTCTCACAAATAAAATATTGAAGTCTGAAGGAGCTTTCGAGACAACAGATGGAAAAGTTTACTTCACTGACCAACAGTTCATTATAGAACATCTCATTGACTTAGAGTCGAAATATTCTAAACTTTACAACAAACACAAAAAGTTGAAAGGAAAACAAAAACAAATGGCATATGATATTTATGAAGATGTTGACGACACAACTGTTCCAGCAAGTGAGGTAAAGTCAGATGAACCGAAAAGTGACGAAAAACCAATAGAAGAAGAGAAACCAAAAACTGAAGATAAACCAAAACCAAAGTTTAGTTTCAACTAAACCAAGTCAACCTTCATTAGCTGGTATGGGTTGGCGTCAAAGACTTTTGGCAGCGGTGGTTATGTAAAGTAAAGAAAAAAATTTTTTTTATTTTTATAAAAATGCCCCGTATAGAATGGATAGAAGGTCTGCTAGAATAAAAGCAGAGTTAGAAAGATATGGTTGGAGAGTTTCAAAGAAGTTTAAATATAGGAAGGGAAAGCCATAAAAGTCTATGACAAACTGTCTGGTCTGCTATGAAATGGACTTGGAAACAGCACGCACAAATTATCCAAACAGACTAGAGAGGTTAGAAGAAGAACGTCTTATGGACATGCCTTTCGATGTTAATGAACCTCAAGTTGATGGACACGACGGCTTTGCCAGGTTCTACTGGAAACATGACGAACAATTGCATCCTTTGAGGAGGAAAAAAGGAAAAGGTGAAGACGCACATGCTCCCATGGAAAGAACAAGATATGCATATGAAAAGTATCGTGAAGTTAGAAGTAAAATTACATCTGGTCGAACCTTTACAGTAAATTTTGACGAAGGAAAGAACAAAGAAGGCTTCATGGGTGTACTTGCTGCCATACAAGACGGAAATAAGAAAGGATACAATCTCAGATAGACCGTAACAGATTTGGATGGTCACATTTACTATGCACATGGCAATGTCACAACAGCTGCACAACTTCTTGACGCTTTCAAGACTACAAAGAGAGAACAAATGGTTGACTCCGACTCAGACATTTTGAATGCAATTGAAGGAATTGCAAGCGTGAAGTTCGAATGGTATCAACCCAACCCTCAAGCAGTCAGACAACATGCTGGTTATTTCCCGTTCAGAAATAAGTCTGACATTGACTTAACAAGGTATGGAATTTACAATTCAATTGAAACAATTGTCAATGAACCTTGTATTCTTACATGTCTCAGGAACTCTGGTCTTGTTACAGATGAGAAAATGAAGTATCTTGAGTCATGTGTGAAGACAAGGTACATTCTTAGAGGTCAATTGTCAAAAATTGCACCGTTGGCAAATGTGAATATCCGAGTCAACATTCCGACTGAGAAAGGTTCTTCACATGACGACTATGTTGTTGACAAAGACTTACCATGGTTGAAGATTGTACTTGTCCACAACCACTTCATGTTGAACGAAAGTCTTACAAACCCATTGTTCGGAAAAGGTAAGTGCAACATTGTCAGAGCTGTTAACATTCTTTTCGAGAAAGGCTTGTTGGAACCAATTCCAGATGACAAGCTGACAGAAACTTTTGTACCAAAAGACGAAACAAACTTTTCATTGTTGGTAAGACCAAAAGTTGTTCCAGACAAAGTTATAGCACAAAAGAAGTACACAGTTCCAAAAGGAGTTGGATTGTTCGGATACCAACCTGAACCAGAAGAACTTCCAATGAGGTTGCAAGAACTTCAAGATGCTATAAACAAACTTCCATTGAGACATCCAATTGATGTCAAATTGTATTGGAGAGCTTCTGAGTTAGGTCAGAAGGTTTTATATGAAACAGGTTGCTTTGACGATGTTTATGAGATAACAGGCGAGGTTTCTCAGAAGATAAGAGACTCACTTGAATTTCCACAAACTGGACCCATTGGTTGCGACAAGTTCGACTCAAACGAAAAAATATACTATGTCGACCTTAACGCTGCGTACATGAGGTTCGTCCAATATATTCCAACTGGAATTCCAAACGAAGACGGTGAGTTCCCGGGAAGGAACTATACAGTTGGAAAGGTCATACAACAACTCTATGATATTAGGAAAGCTTCAAACCCCAAACTTGCAATGACACTCAAATTGCTTATGAATTCGACATGGGGGTATTCCATTAAAAAACCTCAAAAGATGAAGAGTAAACACTATGAGAAGGTCGACAACTTTGTTGAAAGGTTCTCCCCTTTTGTTTTGAAGTACGAGTTCACCGAAGGTCAAAATGGCTTAGTAACCACAGTAAAACCTATTGTCGAACATTGGTCCTATCCTCAGTTCGCAAAAGCAGTCCTTGACAACTACAACAAATTCTTCTCGGAAGTTAAATCCAAAGTGAAGGTATACTACGAGAACATCGATGCACTCATGACGAACGAAGAAGGGTACAACAAACTCATTGAAATGGGAATGGTCGGTGAAAAGATGGGTCAATTCAAATTGGACAAAATTTTCACCGAAGTTCATGTCCTCTCCAAGCGTAAGTACTGGGGTGTTAAAGAAGATGGTGAAATAGTTAAACATTGCATGAAATAAAAAATTTTTATTCGAATTTGAATTTAAATGTGGGAATTCTTGGGAACGTGAAAGGCTTATTTACTTGAGGAACAGGTAAAGGTGGTGGAGGTGGAGGTGGTGGCAACCAGTCCATTTTATATTCCTTCCTAGCTAATTTCCGTTTAATTTCATGGTCGCCCTCGGAGTCTTTGAATCGGACAGGTCGAGTTACACCATTCTTGGTCTCAAACTCATATATAACCTGTTTGTCTGTATTTTCGTCGACTATGGCACGAGACACAAACATTGACCAAACGGACAAAAAGTGTCATTTCAGATGGTCAAGCAGCCAATCGCATTCGAGCACTTCGAAGAAGCCTTACGTTCCAAGGGAGAGGGTGTCTGGTGCAAGGCAGAGGTCATGAAACTCTACGAGCAGTACATCCTCAATGCCTGGGAGGACAAATCGTCCTTGGATTGGCAATTCTACCAACTCCTCTGGGACGACCTCCTACGCAACTGGGATAACGAAAGAGTCCAATTCAAAGGTCGGGAACTAATTTTGCAAATTACCCTTAATTTAACATACTTATGCAACTAAAAACTTAAATTTACTCGGGGTTTCCCCCTAAAATAAAATTTTTTTACTCTTAGAACCACTCGAGGTTCTCCTTACGGTTGTTGAGCTTGTCACCGTCAATGTGTCTGACCTTCGTCTTCTTGTTTGGATTTGGAACCCATTGCATACCGACAAGCCTTCCCATGGAAATTGTACCGTAATTCCGAAGGGTAAGGCTCAAGTGTCCCAAGTTGTTGAGGACTGGGGTAAGAACCTTGCCGGTCTCCTTGTTGCGGATTTTGTATGGGTAGGGTTGGGAAATTTCGTAACCGTCATCGGCAACAAGGGTTGCCCAAACTTCCTTTTCTTCGTGTTTCTCTTCTTCTTCCTCTTCTTCTTCGTGTTTCTCTTCTTCCTCGAAAATTCCTTCTTCAATTTGGTACTCACGAAGTACGGTGTTGCATGTTCTGTCCTTTCCGAGTACCTTCCAGATGGCGTCTATCTCTTCGAAGAAACGGTAGATGAGTCTGGCAAGGTTTTGGTTCTCTTTGTTGTATTGGCGCAAGGTTTCCGCGAAATCGTTCAGGACTTTCTTATTGGAAGCTTGGTTCGTGAGGACTTCGACTTTGAGATTGGTTATCTCTTCCATAAGACTACTTTGGATAGTCTTAATGGTGTTTGTCAGATGAGCGTTCAATTGGGCAATTTGAATTTGAACTGGGCGCTTGTCTGGCAACCTTGAAAGGACATCTGCCATTGAGTTTGGCTTTGGTGCTTGTTCGGACATCGAAAAAATGAAGTGGTTTGAGAATGACGGTTTTACTTCAAAAAGCTTGTTATGACGGTTAAGTCATACAACAAGTTTAAAATAATATCTTGTTCTTCTTCTGAACGTTTGTTGTCTCTTCCGATAAAAGTTTCGAACATGAGAACCAAAAAACGTTTTTTGAGATTGCGGAAGAGTTCAGGCAAACGTTCATATTCTGGATATGTTGGGAGCAGTTCGAAACATCTGAGCTGACTTTCGGACAAAATTGGGACAATGTCAACAAATTCATCTTTGGTCGGACTGCTTGAAGGTAAGTCCCTTACATGTAAGTAGCTCTGGTAAAGTCTTCTCATTTCTGCTAACTTTTGGAGTATAGCTTCGTAGTTTAGAAGTTTTAATTTTAATTGTCTTATTCCACTCTTGACATCTAAACGGTAACTATCCATGAGGTCAAGAGTAGCTTTGGTAGCTTTAAGTGGAGCTATCTGTTCCTTGACTTCTGCAATTTTGGTTGCAATTGTGATTTGAGCTCCTTCAAGTTCGCCGTCTATGTCGTTCTCAACACCTTCAACTATAGCTTGAAACTCTTCATCGGTCCATTGAGATTGGTGTGGGACGAATTTAACTTGCTTCATTCAAAAAAGAAAAAAATGTTTTTACTCAAAGCGTGCCATGTATATGGCTATAAGAAACTTACCAGAAGGCTTCTTCTTCACATGCGTAAAAACATAAAAAAAGTGAAGTTAAAATGAGATGTTTACTGAACTGGCTGAATGTCGCCTTCACAGGTTATGTAGAACGGCTGACCCGAGAAGTGAAGGAGACCCTTGAGAATTTGGTTCATTCTTGGGAAAGGGTTCTCTCTGCTTGGAAGTAGTATCCAAGGACGCTTGGCAAAGAACTTTATAATGGCTTCCTTCTTTGCTTGCTTTATGTCGTCGTAGGCTGTCCCGTCTGGTATTTGAATTGGAATTCCAGTCGAAGTCTCGAGATTCAAGGCAGCCCTTCCCGTTATCCAACCGTTAACAAGCTTGCCTTTTACATTCTGCCTGAGGAAGTCTTTAACAAGCTCGTTAATTTCAATTAGGTAAATTGCCTCGTCGGTAGGTTCGACCTCGACCATTGCTACTGTCAGAAAAAGTACTGCTACTGTCAGAAAAAGTACTGCTACTGTCAGTAAAAGTACTGCTACTGTCAGTAAAAGTACTGCTACTGTCAGAAAAAGTACTGCTACTGTCAGTAAAAGTACTGCTAGTAGCAGTAAAAAGGAAAATTTGAGAGGGTTTTCGACGATAAAGTACTGCTACTGTCAGTAAAAGTACTGCTACTGTCAGTAAAAGTACTGCTACTGTCAGAAAAAGGAAACAATAAGAATTACCGAAAAAGTGACAAAACATCAAAAACAGGGAGGGGGTCTCAATTTTTATTACTTATATTATTTTACAATATTTATATAAATACTCTTTATAATATATTTTACTATAAAATTATACCTCAAATTCAAATATTTATAATATTATTTACATAATTATCTCAAAATTATATTTTTATATATTATTTTTCATATGTATAAATCATATAATCTATATCTATGCAAATCTCATCTAAAATTTTTTGAAACAAACCGCTACCATTTTATAATGGTCCATCTTAAATTCATCATAAATTCTGGTACATGTTAGTACCAGAGTCTTCAAATCTCAAACACTCTGGTACCAACATGTACAGACGCGAGTTTCCAATGCCCTCGTACGATTTTCTATTAAGATCTTCTTGAATGAGAAGGTCTTCATAGAAACTTGTACGAGGGCTTCTCTTTTAAATACTCTGGTACCTGCTGGTATCGGAGTCGACTTTTACAGCCCTTTCCCAATTTTGAAGCGGGAAAGTTTTCAAGCAATGAAAGGAAGCTCTCGCTATGAGGTGAAAATCTAGAATTTTTACCTCATAGCGAGTAATCCTTTGTTAATTGCTTGAAAACTTTCTTCAAATTATCAAAATTTCGAGGAAAGTTTCCTTGCTTCAAAGTAGAGATGGAGCCCTTTGAGCCACTGCATATAGGTCAGTGACTCAAAATACTCCATCTCTACTAGAAATCGCCAAAATTTGGGTCACAATCTTTGAAATGCGACGCAAGTTTGGGCAATTTCGCGAGGGACTTGCTCCATTTGGTGCATAGATTCACACTCTATGCACCAGATGGAACAATTCTTTCGCTGACAGCGGGAAACTTTGTCTGAATAGTTTAACATTCAGACAAAGTTTCCCGCTGTCAGAGAGGGAATGGAAGGGTAAGAGGTATATATTCATAATGTATACCTCTTACTCTTCCATTCCCTCAAGAAAGTTCAAAAACTTGGGTGCAATCAGTTCTGATTGCACCCAAGTTTTTGAACTTTATATAAGGAATTGTTGGCTATGTTGTACTGATCATGAATCAGTACATCATAGCCAACAATTCCTTCGCAAACAGTGGGAAACTTTGTCTGAATAGTTTAACATTCAGACAAAGTTTCCCGCTGTCAGGGAGGGAATTAGAGGGTGGGAGATATATAGATAGACTATAAATCTCTCACCCTTTAATTCCCTCAAGAAAGTTCAAAAACTTGGGTGCAATCAGAACTGATTGCACCCAAGTTTTTGAATTTTGTATAAGGAATTGTTGGCTATGATGTGGATAGCCGCTGCCAGACCAAATGAATTAACCGTTGTGAATAACGTTTCTGAATCTTTATTTAAAAAGATAAAATATCACGATTTTGGCTGCGTTAAAAATCAAAGAATTGATGTTTTTGTCAAAAATCTTTTAGAAGAAGTTGCACCCAATTACTTTTATCGTATTAAAAACGATTTACTTCAAACAGGTTTTATTCCTTCAATTAGAATTCGCGAGCCTCGATTGACAGATTATAAACAAAATTGAAAAGAGAAGTTCAATCACGTTTATACCAAGTATTAAATTCTGTTCAGAATCAAGAAGCCAATTTGAATCCATTAAGATTTTTATTGGAAAATGCTGAAGAAAAACTTTCTCAAATAAATGAGAAGATACAAAATTCAATTACATATTTAAGATCGTTTGAAATTCCAAATGAATTGTTAGATACGTATATGTTAGAAATTAATGAATTTTGTTATAATTCTCCAGATTATATTTTAGAACATTTCGAAGAATTTTTGGAGGATTTCAAAGAAAAGAATAATTTAATAGACTAAAAAAATTATTATTTTTATTTATTGTGAATTTTAAATTGTCACTTTTTAAGTGTTACCCCCTATTGAAAGTGTCACTTTTTGGGTGTCACTTTTTCGGAAATTCTTATATACTCGGGTTTTCGACGATAAAGTACTGCTACTGTCAGTAAAAGTACTGCTACTGTCAGTAAAAGTACTGCTACTGTCAGAAAAAGTACTGCTACTGTCAGTAAAAGTACTGCTACTGTCAGAAAAAGTACTGCTACTGTCAGTAAAAGTACTGCTACTGTCAGTAGCAGTACTGCTAGTAGCAGAGATTTTTATCGTTGTGGTCCGACGGTTAAGCCACAAACGAATGTCCGACGTCCCACCAACCGAGTCCATTCCCAAACCAGAAGAACCTAAAGCACCAGCCCCTGCACCTCAGTTCCAGCAAGTACCTCAGTTCCAGCAAGTACCTCCGTATTACTACCAATTTCCACCTCAAGGTTACTACCCACCACAAGGCTTCCCGAACTACCCTCCTCAACCTATGCCTTACTTCCCCAACCCTTGGATGTTCCAGCAAGCTCCACCCCAGCAATTCCAATCTCAATCCCAATCGAAGAGAGACCAAGACTTCGAAGAAGGTCTGAACCGCTTACGCAAAGAGTATGCTACAGCTCCAATGGAAGACGACAGGCTTTCAGTCTCTTCCCTCAAATCGACCGATTCGACTCGTACCACAGATTCGGTCAAAGACAGAGACGACTACCTCAAGCAGTCTGAGAGACTCTTCATCCTACAATCATTTACAGTTGGAGCTCTCAAGAACATGCGCAATTACGAAGGTCAGACACCAGCTGGAGACCGCAAAACAGACGTACTCGCAAGAGCCGTCCAGCTCGTCAAGACAAAAACTGAGATAGTCGACTTCATTCTTGCAGCTTGCCCATACAAGTAAAAAAATAAACAATTACGAGTTAAACTTTTTATTCTTTCTTTTCTGAGTTGTTTAGAGCTGGTTTCTCTTGTAGGAACCTTTCGTACTCTTCCATGGTCATGTAATTGCGAATTTTGTACGCAATTCCAGGTTCGTTGTTTTTGAACCTTACGTATGTAACGCTTCCATCCTCCTCAGGGAAGTAAGCTGCTAACATCTGACCAAGTTTTCTCGGTGACTCGGAGCTCATAAAAATGTCACTTTTTAAACGTTAAGTTTTTAGTCTTATTTTACCCTTTGTTTGTCAATGTAGTATTGGAGTGCAATTTCTCCAAATTCTCTGTGTCGGAGTTCTTCAGCATTTTCCAAGGTGTACCTGGAGAACTCAAAGAAGTTGTCAAGAACATACTGCCATGCTGCTCTTCTGAGTTCGTCGGTATTTTGGAAGTGTTGCACCTTCGAGTCTTCTGACATGAAAAAAATGACACTTTTTCATTATATAACTGTTATTTTTTGACGAAGAGAACTTTTGCACTTCGTAAAAAAATCCCTGAAATCGTGAAAAATTGCGAGTAGGTAAAAAACCCCAGTCGCCAAAACTCATGAAAATCGTGAAATTTCTCTAGACCGAGAATTCTCGGCCTTGCATAAAACACATGAAAATCGTAAAAAAACTCTATGAAATCATATCTTTTATACAAGATAGAAAAAATAAAATTAACGCTAGTTTTTTTAAAATATTTTTTTTTATTTTGTATGTAAGAACAGGAAATGACAAACACTGAGTTTGAAACAGTCAAAAAGATAGACAATGACACCAAAGTGGTTAGAATAGGTGATTTAAACGTAAGATACTCAAAGAAATACAACAAATATTCTTTGTCAGACATTCTAACACCATCTGGAAAGAAAACATGGCATTGGGTTGGAATTGCTTCAACTCAGAAAATTTTGACAAGAAATCCTGAGCTTATGATATCGGTAAGATTCTGTGGAACTACAGCATATCTCATCGACAAAAGTCTTATACCGATAGTTTTGTTATGGTTAGACCCAGTTGTTGGATATAATTTCATAACATATGGTTCATTCGATACGGAACGTTGCAGTGAAGGCTTACTTTACATCGTTCAGAAACCGAAGGACTTCAATACAAAGAGATATAAGATAGGAAGAACATATAATATAACTCAAAGATATGACAGTACAGTCAATAGAGTCAAGGTTGTGTTTGTAAATGATATGAGAGCTGCTGAAACAGAACTACTTGAAAAGTTTGAGAAAATGTATGGTGCTCCCACGAAAGGTAAAGAAACGTTTGAAGTAGATGAGATAGAGAAAGCTGTAAAATTATTTGACGAAGTTGCTGAAAAATACATGTAAAGCGTTTATTTTTGGTCTTTTATACAAGATAGAAAATAACGCTAATTTTATTTTTTATTTTATTTTTTATTTTATTTTTTATTTTATTTTTTATTTTATTTTTTATTTTATTTTATTTTTTATTTTGTATATAAGAACAGAAATGTCAACAACAGAGAACACAACAACTGCTATCGTTCATGAAGCCATAAGTGAAGAATATGAGTGGGTTCAGTATAACAAACAACTCCGTCTCATTCGTTCGGTCAAAGATGACATGTACCAAATGCAAAGTATTTTGAATGCATGTTTTGCTCCAGATACTAAACACGCAGACGACTGGTTCAAAAACCAAAGCACACAAGAACTTTTGAGTGAAATTTCTCTAGACCGAGAATTCTCGGCCTTGCATAAAACACATGAAAATCGTAAAAATTTGCCAATAAATTTAAGAGGATATTATGTACATAGACTTCTTGTAAATGCTGTTGCAATGTGGGCTTCACCTCGTTACGCTTGGTATATTTTCAGACTTCTTGACGAAATTCATAGACAAGAACGTGAAGAGATGGAAAAGAAACTTCAAGCAAAAGATGAAGTCATTGAAGCAAAAGATGAAGTCATTGAAGCAAAAGACAAAAACATACAGAAAAGAATACCACGTTCGGTACCAAAAGGAAAGGAAAAGAACTATAAGTATATGATTTACACTGAAGAGATGGAAAATGAAGAAGACAGAGATATGGTTATGTTGCATTTAGTCAGAAGAAACAACAAAAGCTTTTACGACCTTGCTAAGATTTACAAATCTGACAGAAATTGGTTCTATCGCGAAAACTTACCGATTTCAATGACACCAAATGAAGATGTTAAACAGATAGTTCAAGATACGTTACCTCAAACACACTATGATATGAAAGGTTGTACAATACTTACATTCAAAGAAGACTTACCGCTACTGAAGGAAAAGATAACAGAGTATTTTGACAACTTCAAAGAAGAAGAGTAAATGAACCATTTATTTTTTACGCTTGACTTTTTACAATTTGAACTTTGTTTGCGTAGATATGAATTCTGAAAGAAGTATGAGGGTCTTGTATGACTTTGTACTTCTCCCATAGTTCATGTCTGTCAAACTTACCTGCCATGGACTCTTTCATAAGTTCCATGAAATCGTCTTCGGACAATCCGGGGAAAAGTACAATGTCAGTAAGTATTCTCTTTACATCCTTACTTAAACTCTTGGCTGTCTGTACACAAATGACAACTGAAATGTTAAAGTGTCTGAGCTTCTTAAGAATTCGACACATGTCTTGTTCTCTATTCTTTAACAAAGGATGAGAAGCAAAGTCATCTAAGATAAGAAGACATCTATGAGGGTAAGTCTTCCAATCGTAAGATTGCAATTTCTTCGAAATGTATTCTATCTCTTTCTGTTTGTTTCTGAAGTGTTTCTTCTCTAATATTCTCTGCATTTCCTCATTTTGGGTCTTTAAACTTCGAATTGACATACTCATTTATAGCATTGTACTTCAAAACTCTTCTTTGGTACTTCTTTATCCAATCTAACAACTCAGAGTCTTTTATACATACTAACTTAGACTTTTTTATAATATCTTTGAACGAATTGACGGTTTGGTCAAATTGACCAGAAGTACTACAAATGACTACTAACTCATAGAATGGGTTCTTCTCATCTAGTTCTTGTTGTTGTGCAGCCATTTTAAGATAAGTGAAAGTCTTACCCGACCCAGGTGGTGCAATTAGACCTGTTATACCATTCTGAGCAAATAGGAACTTGTCATGTATGGGTTTTATCTGAGCATTTTCCAACTTCCTCTTGTTCTTGTTTAAAACATTCTCAAATTTCTTGTCAATGTCAGCAAACTTTTTTTCTAACATATTTTAGAAAAATTAAAATTTTTATCTTTTAGGAAATGTCTAGCGATTTCGCTATCTATATTCGAGACAAGCTTTTCGACAGCAAAACATCTGTCGACCATAAAATCTTACATAGTGTAAACAAGAAAGGGAATTTGTTCTAAAGTTCTGTTTCTGGGAATATGACAAGAACCATAAAACCTTAAGCAGAGAAGTCTTAAAATTTGTCAATGACAGACTTGTTGACAGAGATGACGCCTCTTGGAGAGATGAAGTCCAACAAAACTTCTTAGAATGCAAAGAAGACACATGCGCTGTTCTTGAAAATGAAATAGAAAACAGAATAGAAGCTATTAAATGACAAAGCACTTTTACAAAAATATGGTTCTGAGAAGTTTGACATAACTCCACCAGAGAAGAAGAAGAGAGAAAAGAAAGAAAAGAAAGTAGAAGAAGAGAAGAAAGAACCAAGCCAGAGAAAAAGAAATTTGACATGTAAAAATAAAATTTTATTTTTAGAACATTTCTGGGTCAATGTCAATGTTCTCTTCCTCTTTAGGAGCAAACACTGGCTTAGACTCTAAAATCTTTTTACCCAATTTACCTTGAACTTCAACTATCTTAGACTCATAATATTCATAGTCGTCTGCTTTCTTTGGTTCATAAGGTATAACAAGTTTGTATGCTTTGCCTTCTTTAAGGTTTGAAAACCTTCTGTCAAAACTTTCTTTGACTGTTAACAAACCTTCTATGTCTAAGTCTTCAAATTTCGCACCATTTTTAGTCACAATAGCAAACTTAACTGGTTCGATGTTCCAAACTTTGTCAAATGTAGACTTTTCAAAATGGTAGAAGTAAACATTCAAATATGTGAATGGGTCTAGTTCTTCTTTAAGTCCTGACATGTACTTGTTTACTGAGATGAATTTCGTCATCTTTTCTATCGGATAAAAAAAATTTTTTTTAAAATTTACTCAGAAAAATTTTTCTTTGTATATACACCATTCTGTACGTCTAAAAGACTTTTGACATTTGCCAAGAATGTTCGTTTAGACGCTGTCATATAACCATACTCTTGACAATACTGTTTATACGAATCGTACAATGACCTTTCATCTAAACACTCAAAGTCAGTTTCATCTATGAACAGTTCATATACACTCTTGTTTGCTTCTAACAATGTTTGTCTCTCTTCGGTATGTGGAATTTGTCTTGGATTGAACTTAGAAATATCTAATGTCATGAAATATGAGAACAAGTGGTTGTAAAAGTCAGATGTCAAAGTTTCTGCTAAGTCGTCAAAATATTCTGTATCTTGCATATGAGAATCTGACGTTCTGACAACTACATATCTTCTGTCAGAACTTTCTAACTTCATCGGAACAGCGTTGTTTGAAACCATGATGAAATTTGCAACATTTTCACAAACTCTTTGGTCTCTATACTTTCTTTCAACAACTCCAACTTTGTCTGTTATAAGACTCTTCAAAGCATCTGAGTTTAAAACCTTTGTTGTATCTATACTTTGAAGTTCGTTACATACTATAAGTTTCATATTCTCTATTGAAGAGTTAAATTTACCGCAGATGTTTTCTAAGTTTGTCATATTCGGATTCGAATAACCTTCTAACAGTTTGCATAAGATATCTGTAAAGAAAGTGTTCTTACCAGTTCCTTGTTTTCCAATTATAATGAGAGCAGTTTCATTTTTAGCACTTGGATGTTGTAAGATGTTTGCAAACCAACATAAGATATACTCATAGACTCTTTCGTTTCCATTGCATATAATTTCTTTGACATGGTCTAACCAAGCTTCTATAACATTTTCTTTCCATTCTACTTGTTCGTATTTATATCCAGTGAAGATAGAATAGAAGTTTGGAGAAGGTGTATAGAACTTTATACCACGAACTGAAAAATCTTCAAGTTTTGACAATAAGATATCCCAAGCATCTAACATCTTCATGCCAACTTGTACGACTTTTATTTTCTTAAGTTTCTGTTTACATTCTTGTTCTGAAACTATTGTCGCTTTAGGTTTGTTAAAGACTACATCCCATTCTTTCATGACATAACATTCTGGGGCAGAGTCGACATAAATGACTAAACGTTTCAAATTCTCGACTGCTTTGTTATAGTCTCTAAATGGACACATATTTCTGAACGCTTGGAAGTCATAAAAATCTGAAACGTCTATTCTGTACATTTTTTTATAAAAATAAAAAAAAATATTTTTTTTATTCTTGAGCTATTTGTTGTTCTTGAGCTATTTGTTGTTCTTGAGCTATTTGTTGCATTTGTTCCATTTGTTGCATTTGTTGTTCTTGAGCTATTTGTTGTTGAAGTTGTTCTTGTAATACAATACTTTCACCAGTTGCATCTTCCAATTCGAAACTTTCTGCCGTCATTGACAAATACATAGGACATAAAGTTTTACAGAACAAAGTTTGCGTCAACTAAGGTTAAGTTTATGTTTGCCAAAGTGTTTGAGTTTTACTAAAGCTAAAACTCTGCATTCGAATGAACAATAGGCAAACCAGCAGAGAAAGTGTTGTTTATACGCATGAGTATCTTTTGGTCATAGTAGTTTTCTGTCGACATTCGAATAGCACTTTGAACCTAAGTTTGAAACAATATATAAAATAGGTGTACTTAAAGTCAATGGAACAGACAAACCTTGTATGACACCTTTTCCTGTTATAGGAAACTGTTGGTAGTAAAAACCAGATATAAGTTTTGTATTATAGCTCATATCGTTTATACTAAACTCAGTCGGACATCCAAACATAATGAAACCTGCTCTAGTTGCAGCACATGTTACATCCGTCCTTAAAGTATTAAATAAGTCAACAAAACCTGTTGGTGGTATATCTGAGTAAGTATCTTCAAAGAAGTATTTTTTACCATTCACAACAAAAAATCTTCTGGTGTCAAAAGAGCAAAACAGGCTTTAGTCGTCATCGTGTTTAAGGTCAGTTTACAATATCGTCCTTGAGGACTTTGTAAGTTTGTTGTTATAGAATTATATGACTCAGGGTTTTTAGTCGTAATAGTATAAACCACTATGTCTTCTGCCATTTACTTAGCAAACAAACTTTAATGAAATGTTGTGGTCGTCAAATATTTTTATGACGTCTGGGAAACTATATTTTAAGTTCAACGTTTCACCTCCTTTCATAACGTATATCTTGTCAATGACATTATATGAAACACCACAGCAAGCAATGTCGGGTTCTATTTCTTTTGATGTTATATATCGTCTGCCTCTGTCAAAAGTTTCAATAGTTCTTTCAAAACTTCATGAGGTGCGATGACATATGAGTTCACTTTTACAGGGTTGTGCTCAACCAAGTTTAACATTATACCCAAAGCCTGACAAATCTTCTCCTGAGTTTTAAGTTTGTCTTTAAGTTGTTGGTAGTCGTTTCGAATATCTGCAACAGAACTTAAGTCTCTGCTAACTTCAGGATATGTTGGTTGTTCTTTTACAGGAACTATTGTTATACCATCTTCGTCTTCGTATGGTTTCCCCACTTCAACATCTCTTTCTTTGACATTGACAACAACACTTTGACTGTTTGTTTGAGTTGGTGAATTTAACTTCACATCTGCCATCGCCATTAAACCTTTTGAAACACTTACGCTTCTATTTTTCGGAAATGACATTTTACTTAGAATAAAAAGATGGACGTATTTGAGTATCTCTTCGAATTGAAGCAGAACAAAGTTTACACACACAAACAATACAAGTTCATTGACAGAATAGTTCTTTATACAAACAATGGAAAATGTTATAGAATAGCAGTCTTTGCTGAACCAAAATATTTTCATAAAGCAAAGAAAGTTGGTATAACTGAAATGGTGAAAGTTCTTGAAGCAGACAAAAATATAACAACAAAACTTACAGATATTTCTAAAGGTAAGTTTATAATACAATATTATATCAAAACTGGCGTACTGTCAATATTTGACGGAGAGAAGTCAGTTCAAGAACAACTTACTGACCTGCTGCCAAAATCTGCTCGATGGAAGCTGTCGTT